GTTAGCTGCCGACGCAGAGGCCTCTATCGCCCTTCCCCGCCCCTCCTCAGCCCCCCCTCCCAGCGCCCCACCTCTAACAAGGTGGCGCCGAAGTTCACGACGCTGGGCCTCGGCTTCTCTTAGCACCAGCCCCAGGGTGGGCTTCGGGACCGGCAGTTGGTTCAGCTCCCGCGGCTCCAGGGCCTTCAGCTCTCTGAACCTCTGCTCCAGATACTCATGGGCTGCGGCCACAATGAGCTCCAGGGGAGGCAGAAGAGGAGGCTGGGGGGCCACCTGGAGAAGGAGCATTGGCGATGGAGCCATCGGGTCATAGGGCAGAGGTCGCGGTGGGGGACGCTGGAGACCTTCCCAGAGAGGTCTCGAGGTGCCACCCTTGGCCGGGCCACTGGCATCACCTCACCTCCGTGGAACTGTGGGAGTGGTAGACCCACAGCAGGGTTTCCAGGGAGCTGGGGGGGGGTCTCCTTCATGGCTGCCATGGGCGGTAGGAGAGAGAGAAGGGCCTGGGGACGCATGTGGCCCCGCAGAGGAGCCTCACTCCACCTCGGTGGAGAGGCGTGTTTGTGAGGTCAAAGGATCAGCGGCTCCCCCTGCGATTCTGGGGACTCGGGGAGGCTGTAATGTCGCTCACTCCGAGCCCCTCAGGTACCTCATTTTCGTCATGGTGGTTGCCACGCTCATTGTTATGAACTGCGTCATCGTGCTCAACGTGTCTTTGCGGACACCCACCACTCACGCCATGTCCCCGCGGCTGCGCCACGTAAGCGCTGCAACTGCTGGTTGGGCGGCGGCGGGCGGGAGGCAGGACTTGAAGCTGATCGCCGCCCCGCCCCACCCCTAGGTCTTGTTAGAGCTGCTGCCGCGCCTCCTGGGCTCCGGGGAGCCCCCGGAGGCCCCCGGGGCCGCCTCACCCCCGAGGCGGGCATCCTCTGTGGGCATATTGCTCCGCGCTGAGGAGCTGATACTGAAAAAGCCGCGGAGTGAGCTCGTGTTTGAGGGGCAGAGGTACCGGCACGGCGCCTGGACCGGTGAGCAGAGCGGCCCGCGTGGGCCTTCGGGGGCGCTTGCACTGGGGGAGGCTCCGCATGACCCACCCTGGGGCTGCTCCCACCCTTCCCGCAGCTGCCCTCTACCAGAGCCTGGGCGCCGCTGCCCCCGAGATCCGCTGCTGTGTGGATGCCGTGAACTTCGTGGCCGAGAGCATGCGAGACCAGGAGGCCACGGGCGAGGTGGGCCAGGAGCCAGGAGCGGGGTGGGCGCTGCAGAGGCCTCCCCACTATTATTGTGCTGCAGGTTCCTGCAGCCCTTGCGGACTCTGTGCCTGCCCCTTCCTCAGGAGGTGTCCGACTGGGTGCGCATGGGAAAGGCCCTTGACAACATCTGCTTCTGGGCGGCTCTGGTGCTCTTCAGTGTGGGCTCCAGCCTCATCTTCCTCGGGGGCTACTTAAACCAAGTGCCTGACCTGCCCTACCCACCGTGTCTGAAGACCTGAGCAGGCGGACGCACTGACTCCAACTTTCCTATCCATCTCCATGAGGAAATAGGTTTTGAAAAGCAAGTTGCTGCCACTGCTATATTATGATCCTTTATCACTGCAGATAATAAATCAGTATTTTGTAAACACACGCTGCGAGTGCACAAGTGTGTAGGTCTGGTCACCATGCAGCAATCAGAAAGAGGGAGAGGGTTGTTCAAGCAGGCTCTTGGATGCCAATCCTCTGGAAAGCAAAAGCCATGCTAGATTCAGCCTTGCTGATCTCCCAGTGTTGCTCAGGCCCCAGCCCCATTGGACCTTCTAAGCTATTTTATAGCCACACAGGAGAGGCCCCTTTGCAGGACTGGCACTTAAGAGTCTGGAGCCAGGAAGCCAGGACCCTCTGGCAGCTCCCCCACAGGCCCACAGGGGTAACAGGGCTGAGGCAGCAGTGGCCCTCCCTCGGTCATTTTTTCTAGGTTTTCTTGGCCCAGCACTGCCCACCTACTTCTCCCCCCAAGACTCACTGTACATGCCACCCCACCATGCGCCATTGGTACCCATTCTGCTTGCTTGCCCTGGCTAGTATCCGGATTGTGAGAGAAAACAGAATAAAAACGGGTCTGAAGTGGGAGCTGGTTGAATTGTCTTTATTAACAAACGGGATATCCAAGGCCACTACATTGAGGAGGGGTAGGGGTAGGGGCAAGGAGGGAATAGGGCTACTTGCTGCTCACACTATATACAGATGCAAGCAAGGGGGTGTGGAGGGTGAGAGCTCCCTGCTCCCTCCCTCCACCAGGGAAGGGCAGAGGCTAGAAGAGATGGGGGTTGGAGAGGAAGAAATGTTTTGGCTGGCGGGGTCCCCCTTCCATTCCCTGGGGTTTGGGGGGAGGGGAATCATTAAAGTGCTTTCAGAAAATGAGGAAATGGTCCCTGCCCCTAGAGTGGCTGGTGACCCCCCTAAAACCTAGGGCCCAGTGACCCCCCCCCAGGGTTTGGTACATTCAAGGGGGGAGCCGGCTCCCCTGACGTGCAAATGAAGGGGCCCAGGGCCCTGCCCAGTCAGCAGCAGTGGGGTACAGGGTCCAAGCCCCAAGCACTCTCCTCTTAAGTGGAGAAAAGGGGGGATGGGGCTAGGCCCATTCAATTCCTGTTAAGGGGAAGCTGTGCCTCTCTCCAGAAGATGGGACAGGCACAGTTTTGGGGAAGAGAACATGTTGGGGAAGGGGGTGGTCATGTGATCACAAAAGCATCAGGGGTCAGAGGTCACGTTCCCAGCAGGCTCCAGTGAATCAAACCAGTAAAAGCAAAAGCCCAAGGAGGGGAAAGCAGGGCGGCCTGGGAAGTCTGGCTGTGGGGGGAGAGCTGGGTCCCTGTGGCAGAGCTCCAGCCTAGGGCCTGTCACCAGTTCATGATGCAGTTGCGGTTCAGAGTCATAAAGTAAACTTGGCTGCTGCCCCCAGAGCGGACTGAGGCAAAGAATACCTGTGTGGGGAAGGAGAAGAAGTCACCAAGGGATGGATGGGGGGCGGGGAGAGTTTCAGTTAATTGGGAGAGAGAAACTGCAAAGTTCAGTCTCTCAGAATAACCCCCATCCTGCCCTGGCCAGTGATGCTCAGTGGTTAGGGCAATGGCCTTTGCACTGAAAGGTCACGGGTTCAGTTCTGATCAAGGGCACGTACCTTGGTTGCAGGTTCAATTTCCACGTGCAAGAGGCAACCAATTGATGTCTGTCTCTCACATCAATGTTTCTTTCCCCCTCCCTCCCTCCCTTCCACTCTCTCTAAAAATCAATGGAAAAAANTACTTGCTGCTCACACTATATACAGATGCAAGCAAGGGGGTGTGGAGGGTGAGAGCTCCCTGCTCCCTCCCTCCACCAGGGAAGGGCAGAGGCTAGAAGAGATGGGGGTTGGAGAGGAAGAAATGTTTTGGCTGGCGGGGTCCCCCTTCCATTCCCTGGGGTTTGGGGGGAGGGGAATCATTAAAGTGCTTTCAGAAAATGAGGAAATGGTCCCTGCCCCTAGAGTGGCTGGTGACCCCCCTAAAACCTAGGGCCCAGTGACCCCCCCCCAGGGTTTGGTACATTCAAGGGGGGAGCCGGCTCCCCTGACGTGCAAATGAAGGGGCCCAGGGCCCTGCCCAGTCAGCAGCAGTGGGGTACAGGGTCCAAGCCCCAAGCACTCTCCTCTTAAGTGGAGAAAAGGGGGGATGGGGCTAGGCCCATTCAATTCCTGTTAAGGGGAAGCTGTGCCTCTCTCCAGAAGATGGGACAGGCACAGTTTTGGGGAAGAGAACATGTTGGGGAAGGGGGTGGTCATGTGATCACAAAAGCATCAGGGGTCAGAGGTCACGTTCCCAGCAGGCTCCAGTGAATCAAACCAGTAAAAGCAAAAGCCCAAGGAGGGGAAAGCAGGGCGGCCTGGGAAGTCTGGCTGTGGGGGGAGAGCTGGGTCCCTGTGGCAGAGCTCCAGCCTAGGGCCTGTCACCAGTTCATGATGCAGTTGCGGTTCAGAGTCATAAAGTAAACTTGGCTGCTGCCCCCAGAGCGGACTGAGGCAAAGAATACCTGTGTGGGGAAGGAGAAGAAGTCACCAAGGGATGGATGGGGGGCGGGGAGAGTTTCAGTTAATTGGGAGAGAGAAACTGCAAAGTTCAGTCTCTCAGAATAACCCCCATCCTGCCCTGGCCAGTGATGCTCAGTGGTTAGGGCAATGGCCTTTGCACTGAAAGGTCACGGGTTCAGTTCTGATCAAGGGCACGTACCTTGGTTGCAGGTTCAATTTCCACGTGCAAGAGGCAACCAATTGATGTCTGTCTCTCACATCAATGTTTCTTTCCCCCTCCCTCCCTCCCTTCCACTCTCTCTAAAAATCAATGGAAAAAATACCCTCAGGTGAAGATTAACAAAAAAAAAAAAAAGAAAAGAAAGAATAACCCCCACCCCCCTGAAGAGCAAAAATGCTTGGGGAAGAGGAAAGAGGGTAGCTGGAAGACCTCTGGGGTTAAAGAATCTGGAGAGTTCTCAGAAACTGAAGGCAAGGGGAAGGGCAGGTGGTGACTGCGTGGTGTTCCCCAAGGGTTCCCTTTCAGGAAGAGCCGACAACTGTCACCTTGGTGGGGACCTAGGGCTGTGGAAGCCAGCCCAATACAGGGGCCCTGGCCCTTTCCAGGGGGCAAGGGGCTCCCACCTTATCATTCCGCTCACACAGGAACTTGAGCCTCTGAGCTCGTTTGTGCATGAAGACCCCATCCAGGTGGCCTGTCTCCACGGAGCGGATCTCGATGGCTTTCTCGCCCCAGCCCATTATTTGGTTGGAGCAGATGTAGGCTGGAGGAGAAGGGAGTTGAGGGGCAGTGAGTGGGCTGCAGCTGGGGCCCACTCCAAGGCCAGCTCAGGGACCTGCAGCTTGGGGAAAAACACCACACTCACCCACAGAGGTGGGCATCTCTCCCCACTGCAGCACCACATCCTTAATGATCCGCCCGTATGTGTTGACATACACGCCCTCATCCTCGTAGCACAGCAGCATCTCCATGCCATCGGTGTTGGGGAGGAAGATGATGGCATGGGGAGTGATCTGGCTCTGGATCTAGGGAGAAGGTAGGCTGGAGTCACTGAATCTGGAGTCTAGACTGGTGGTCCCCCTCTGCCCACAGTCCAGCCAAGCTTACATGAACAGGGATGTAGATGTCATAGCTGTTCCCCGAGTCGACATCCACAGCGTGGAAGCCTGCACTGGAGCCATAGATGACTTTGAGCCGCTGTCCCTCCTCTACTGTTAGGTCCACCAGCAGAGGGCGGTGAGGCAGGTCAGCAAAGGACTGTGGAGGAAAGAAGGGATCAGGGGACACAGGTGGAGGAGTCAGACCTTGGAACAGTGTTGGAGGGCTGAGGCTAGGATTACCTTGAAGGCCATGAATTTGTGGTAGGGTTTGGGGGCCCAGGCATACACCTCTACGGAATTCTTCAGGGCGATGACCAGGAACTTAATACGTTCGTATTTCACTGGGGGCAGGAAAGAAGAGGGATTCTTGGACTGCGGGGCCCCTCCCACAGGTTTGTCACTACACCCCCAATGCCAGGCACCAAGTCTCTGGCTTCATGACCATTAAGCCCAAACCCCCATTTCTCTCTTCTCATAAACAAATGTGCCCTGGCCACTCTGTTGTGACCTCCTCACCAACGCGGTAATGCCCGCAGCCCTCCATGTCCCCCACGGTGGTCCAGCCCTGCTTCTTCTCCACCTCTGGGTCATTGTGCAGAATCTTGTTCCGGAGCCAGGACAGGTAATACACGCGCAGTTTGTTTCTTTTCCCTGAGGGGCGAGGACACAGATACACACAGACACAGAAACACACACACGCTCCCTTCATTGGAGGTCCAGATTCTGCGTCCTGGCCATCCTTTTCAGCATACCACGAGGGGTGAGAAAGTGGCCCCAACTTCTGGCTCCTGGACCAAGGTTGCCCTCTGCCCAGGCTGAAGATGGTGACAGAGAGCCAAGCAGCGGAGCCCCCTCCTCCCGGCCCTCTCCCCCACCCCTGTACTCCACACACAAACCTGAGATGGTGATCAGCAAGTTGAGTCCTTCCAGCACATCCATTTGCTGGAAGCGCCGCCGCCCAATGAGTCCATACACCTTGCCTTGCCCACTTCGGTCCAGCAGCATCAGCCCGTTCTCCGTGCCCACCAGCAGGTTGACACCTGCAATAGAAGCCCTTGGGCAGATCAGGGGCAGAGCCAGGCCCTCACCTGGCCAGGAGCACAGGGGCACACCAGATCCCTCTTTTCCTTCCCAGCCCTGGCTTACCCCAAAGGGCCGCACAGAGGATCTCAGAATTGAATCGCTTCTTGTACTTCCGAATCTCGGGGGTTTCACTGTGGGCCCGCGTGTTGGTGGGGTTCACGTTGACCACAGAGCCTTTCCGCACATCATACTGCAGCTGATCAAGCCGACCGGCCTCTCCACCCACTAGGGCTGCCGGGGAGAGTGGGGAGGGGAGGTGGGCTGCTGCCCCCTTACCCTGTCTCTTCTTACCCTACCCTTACACTTAGTCCTGGCTCCTCTGAATACTCAGAAGGAAAGGGAAAGACCAGAGAATGGAGGTGGTGCACAAAGGAGTTGGAACAGAGCCAAAAGTCCTTGTTCTGTCACATAGGTCCCTGTGCTGCTGAGCATTTTCCCTCTTGGGTTAAAGTGGCTTTAGAAGCCCTTGTTGCCTCTGTGCCAGGGCAGGTGCTCAGGTGAAAGGGGAAGCTGAGACGCTTCGCGAAGCCGCATCACTGGAGCTTCACCTCAGCTACTCTCCAGGCCTCATGGCAAATACTTCGTCCCATCCTCACCTGTGATGGGGATGGTGTCCCCACTGCCTCCAGACTGGTAGATGCCTAGGTCCACAAACATTGTGAACGAGCTCTTGCCAGGGGCCTTCACTAGCCCACGAGACTGGTACTGTGGGGGTAGGGACAGTAGTCAGGCAAACACATGAGACCCCAGCCTGTGGCCCTCCCCCTGGTATTATTCCTAGGCCCCAGGTCCCTCAAGGAGAACCCTGGCCAATTAGCTCCCAGGTGCTCTGCCAGCCCAGCACAGTACCCCGAGTACCCCCCTGATCTGCCCACTGCCA